CGCCTCCATCGCTAAGCGGTTCAAAGCGCTCTGGACGGTTTGTGGGTCGTCTCCCAGCAAGGCGATATCATCGGCATAGTCCAAGTCCGTGACTCTGTCTCCAGGGAGGAGCTCAACACCGCAGTTTTGGACACTTTCCAGTGCTCTTTGGACAACATCTTCGATGGCGAAATTGAAGAGCAACCTTGGCGAGCACAGCTGGTCACAGCAAAGGAAGAAGAAAGCGTGCCTTCAAGTCTTTGATCATGGTTGTTTGCGAAGCATTGCTGGTGTCGGATGGCACCAGCGTGTCCGCAACGATGATGTGCGTAGGGGAGTACTAGGTGGTGATGATCATGCTAGCTCCCTAGAACAACAGATAGCACTGAATAAGTTGCGTTGGCTCGGGCACGTGCTACGCATGCCTGGTCACCGCTTACCTAGGAGGGCCTTGTTCAGTCTACCAGGTGTAGGATGGCGCAAGGCTCGAGGTGGACAGAAGTTGACTTGGCAGCGGGAAATGAAGTCACTGACGACCAAACTGGGTGCCGTTGGTCCGTCTCGCCTTCCGGGTTGGAGTCCACGTGACTTACCTTGTGCTTGGCTCGAGACTTTACAGGACATGGCTCGCAACCGACACCAGTGGCGCGTCTGCTGCCGTCTCCTGGTCGGATTGTCTGTTTAAAGTGTGTTTGGTGCTGAGTTATCTGCGGGGTAATGGCTGATTATGATGCGTGGCAGTGAAAGCCGCAAAGAAGCTGTCTCGCCGATGCCGCCTTATCTTTGCACGATAGCCAGCTGCTTGTGACGGTATGTTGTCTACACAAGGTGTAGGCGCCTTGACCCTGAATGTTTGCTTAGGGCATTAAGGTTTTCAGGTAAGTCCTCCTTCTCTCCCTCTTCTTATTCTTTATTTCATAGGTCCTCATGGTTGTATGGCAGCGAAGCATCAGTTCAAATGGCTGATGTACTGCTGTTGATGATGATGATGCCATAAGCCCTGACTTTGCCCGACGTGGGAATGTAAAGTTCTTTCAGGATGGTTACAAACTTGTCGGGTACACCATTCTTCAGTAAAGAGTTCAACAACGCAGTTCTATCTACTGAATCAAATGCCGTTCGTATGTCCAAAAACACTACAATTGTTGGCCGCCGGTGGATGTAATGGATGAGTTCGAGAAGCTGGCGAAGCGTGAAGATTTGGTCGACGCAGCCGCAGCCTGGACGAAATCAGGCTTGTTCTTTTTGGGAAAACTCCTCTCTAATCGTTGAAAGCCTGCGAAGTAGGGTCGACACGAAGATTTTGGATGCGATAGAGATTAACGAGAGTCTGCGGTTGTTACAGCAATCGTCGCGGGAGCCTTTTTTGTGAATCGGAACAATGACCGATTCTCCCCATGAGTCCGGAACCTTCTCCTCAGTCCAAACCTTCGTGAACAGTGATAGGATTCCGCTGACAAGTACACTCCCATCATCTTTGAATAGAGCCGATGGTAGGCTGTCGGGACCAGGAGCCATGTGACGTCTCAAAAATTGGATTACATTGCGGATCTCTGCTTCATTGGGGGGGGGGGGGTTGTGGAGACATGCCGAGCATCAACCATTGGGGCTGGAGGTGCCACAGGAGGCTGTGTTGGGTGGTTGGATTGAAGAGCGAAATGCTCTGCCCACCGACCCAAGCGCCTGTGAAGTTTGATTACCTTCGTGTCGTCTGATTCGCAAATCGTTTGGCTGATAGTGTGGGAATTGCAACCGGTGGCCCTGATGATGCAAAATAGACGGTGGAAGTTGCCAGCTGATGCAGCGTTTTCCATCTCATCAGCTTAGTTTGACCACCAAGACTCAGGATCAGAGCGAAGGCTTGCTTTCAGCTGTTGCGTAACTGACCGGCAGTGTTCGCTGTGCTCTGCACCAGCAGGCACCGCCCGTCGGCAATCCAGCAAGTCCCAGGATCTTCCCGAGATCCAGCTTTTGGGAATGGAACGAGCGAAGCCACAGCTGGACAAACCGGCCGACAGCAAGGCTTGTTGCAGGTTGGACCAGTGTTCATCAACATCCAAAGTGAGAGAGAACAAGATTTTCACGAAGCCTTTGTTGATACTCCTTCTTTACCATTGGGTCCTCCAACTTGTAGGAGTTCAATCGGGTGTGTTTAGACCTAGGTGAACTACCGAAAGGCATGCAAACGGTCGCACATACCAGTGCATGATCGGTATCGACGCATGTTGACCAAAATGATTGGCAGTCGAGAACGCTTGCCGGGCGAAAATACACCACGTCCTGGAACATCGCCGACAGACCATTCGCCGGAACGGGAAATTCCCGAACCAACAAGCTGGTACCACGAAGAGGTTGTTATACGATCCAGCAACTACCCAGTGCATGCGCCGGTAGACAAAAGCTGTGCAGACGACAGCTCAGTGAGCTCCCTATCCTCTAGCTGGCACAGCTTCAGCGGTATGGTCCCGTGTTCTAATGCGGCAATTTTCCTCAGCTAACTATGAAACTGTAGATAAAAACAAACGCAGCGAATCCACGTTATTACGCAGAAATACAGTGCTAAAACCATTGTGGGAAATTCGCGGGACGATTACGTCGCATCTTAACAACACCACCATCTTCATTTCCTTTACGCTTTTGGACCAAGAGAACTTAATCGAGAACAGGGAGGCAATACCAACGTTCGCTGCAGAGCATCTGTATGACGGACCTAAGGGCTTGCTTCGTTGAGCATCCACCTTGCGTGGCACTTCAGGTGGTTGACCACGCTCAAGCGAGTACAGTTTCGCTCAGCGTCCAAATTGCATACTTACTACATGGATAAACCTAAGCCATTAGACGAGTGCCCAGAAATGACCGAAGCGGGGGCTCAGATTCAGTAGCGATGATGGCGGATACACTGTGTTCGGAGCATTGCAGATCTAGTAAATACAAGACCAAATCTGTCATTCGAGTACCGTGCACTCGGCCACCAAATTAATAGTGGAACAGTCATGAGTGCCGTTGGACAACCGAATTCGCTGAAAAACACACCACGATCACTCAACAGTAACAATGGATTATGTGCTATCCACAAGAAACATTTCCAGACACAATGAGAGAATCTTCGCTTTGGGTCGCTCGTGTGCAGTACACATGAATATGACACCATGGCTTCGCCGATATTGCCCATACGTTTGAATCCGAATTTTGTGGCACCTTTATAGCGTCAACAACGTTTGCCTAACTCACCGATATATTTGCCCAACACACGAACCTGTGGGTAAACGCCTAAATTCAGTTGATTCCACGAAGTCAGGTATCAGAACCCCAAACTGTGCACTCGTGTAAAGCTCCTTCATGACAATAATATGCAGTCGTCCATAAAACAGTCTGAATGGCTACTCTGACAATACTCCCGCAGTTAGACCGAAGAACACGAGCACAGTGTCCGGTGGAACAACACGGCTGTCTTCAATAGCGGATCAAGCAGCACTAAAAGTCGTACAGCTTCCGCAGTAGTCAGCAAGTCATAAGAGGTGCCACTCGCGCGCTGGCGTTCCGCTACCACAGTACCACCTAATTCCTGCAGGAAGGTCGGTACACGATTCGTAACTTGATTAGCGGGAACGCAAAAATGCTCAACTCAAGAGGATGTATGTGATTCGAGCCAGAGAGACAAGCAAAATCAGCAATGCAGAGCAAGTTACTGCTTGCATACGTAAGGAAACAGAAGACCAACGATTCGTAGAGCGCATCGGATGTGAGTAGGTATCAGCGCACAAACACCGACAGTACACCAAACATAGGCGAGCGTGACCGTTTGAAACACAGAACAGATCCTTCACAAGAGTTGTACGATGCCACTGTCGTCCAACGTGTCACCATGACACTAACCAGCGTCACGGTCAGAACGCGGACAATCGATGTATGGAGGTCTTGGAGCGATCCCATGGATCGGAGCGCTGGGTCACCTCCGTAAAACAACATGCAAACACGTGATCGGCCCAGACACAAAATAAACTGAGCGCGCAACGCACAGCTGGCTAGCACTAATCCAGGCGCACCAAACATCCACCCACTGACACAAAACGGCAGTCGTCGAAATGACAATACTAATAGGATCACGCACACACAAAATGAAAACAATGAAGTAGACAGCTAAGACTGTGAAGACAGCGTCAACCTGAACATCTCAGCAGATGGGAAGCTGGATTGACAAGGAAGTGCAACTCATCTATCCAGTTACACACACCAATCAGGAAATATCAGTGCCTGTAAACGAATCAGTGGGAGCAAGATCACACTCCGAACAAAATATGCCACAATGTAAACACGTGCCGTTCGCTCGCTCGCTTACACACAACATATAGCCAGTGTTCTTGTCTTGACACAAACATGTGACAAGGTCAGAGAACGGGCAAATTCATGTACGGACGTCTGGGAATGACCCGACTTAGTGGGACATGGTGCAGCCTCCGAGTCAGGTGAATACCAAATACACAACGTGTGTAGAGCTGAGGAAGTCTGAAATGCTCCAACTCATCACACTACGAGATAAAATAACATCCGCGAATAGCACCCATCGTGAGCAGTTACGTCTGACAGAACCGAATGACATCTGGTGAGTCGAAAAGTAGTAGGAAAGACGGATACACTGAACAGAACCACTCAGATCTTAAAGACAAGCAAACCGATGCATTGCCGTCAAAAGCTTAAAACGGTAGAGAGGCATAAGTGGAAACGCGACGTGTGGTATATGCTGAGACACCTGCAAAGGACCACAAGTCAACCGACATAACAACGCCATTCTCAGCTAGGAAGACACAGATAATGGATGGTCAAACATGGTTATTTTTCACTTTCACATATTCTGCTTAAAAGTAAGTGTACATATGTTGTAATTTACCCGAGACAATGAATTTAACTTACACCACGTTATGGGCATGAAGTTGATCAGCCAAAGGATGAGTAGGCACCAAGAGGATCGATGCAAATTGTGCGACAAACATACAGCACCAAACATCTATGCATGGAAATGTAGACATCGAAGTACAGACAACACCACTGGGATAACAAAAAGATGGTATGGCAGGTGACCCCGTCTAGGGAGATGGCATAACAGTGAAACGAAAAAGAAAAGAGGGAGCTGTCCACGTGGCTTGTGAGACACTTTCGTCGTTCCACACAAAATTCACTCCCGTTGTACCACCAACGAAGACGCTGGCATAGGGATTTGTGGGTTTGAGACGGTGTACCTGTGCACGAGGTAAAGGATTACTGTCGGTAGGACAACAGACGGAAACGGCCTACTTTTGTACAATAAAAAGTAAACAAAACAGTAGCAGCATGGTACTAATGACTATCGCCCCCAAGTAAGAACAGTGAAAAAGAATTCGATTGAAGGTACAACGAAGTCAAAACAGAAAGCACAGACATCCACAATATGACGCCGAGTTGTAGCAAGGTTCACAAAGGTTAGACAACTTTAGAGATGAGGAAAACTGCAGTTGCATTCACCCAGACAGTGGGTGCTGAACCGTAGCCAAATGCCCAACCAACTTGAGAACCGTAGTGTTTTACTGAGGAAGACTACAGTGGTTAACAATCACCCAAACTCCGAGTGGGCGAATGGCACTGTTTTCTGAGTTGATCAATGGCTGATCAGAGGATGATCGTGGTAACCCGAATTCGAAAACGCTCCCGGCTAGTATACAGAAACCAGAGAGTTGATGCGTACGACAGTCGTTCGACATGTTAACGCTCTAAACAGTAGGATACTTTTGTTGCACGGTGCTTGGGGTGTAGCCATTCAACAAAATGAACAGCACCAGCATTTGATGTGCGGAGAGCTAGCATAACCCCGATAGGACGGAGCATGGGGTGGCCTCCGGTTAATATAGTGCAAGCATAAAACTGCAGTTTAATGCGGGTAGGAGGACAAGTTGGGAAGTTTATCATTAGCAACTAGACTAGAACCTTCGGCTTCACATGCAGCACATAAGTGAGAATGCCATTAGCGTTGGAATAAGTTGATTGGAGTTAAGATAGCAGCACACAATGAGTTCATCATAGAGAGCGGACAACGGGTACATAGATAAATGACCTTTAGTACTCCCCGCAGAATAGATCCCCCAGCGACACCACCGCGGAGGTCATCGACTTCACAACCGGGTTTATTGACGTCGAACGACCGAATGACTGGAAAGGAGAAAGAAATGGATTTATAAATCCACTGATCAGTTATGTGGACTCCAGGACATCGCGGGAAAGCACATATTTCTTAAATCGGACTCTAATCCGATCAAGACTCATCAGTTGCACTTAAAGATTCGAAACCTCAGTGAAGGAAAGCAAAAGAAAAAGATTCCGAACAAAAGTAACATGCCCACGCACATTCACCAAAACAGGGTACATAGCACAGTTCAGAACCATGGTCGCACTGGTTGATCAGGTTAGGTCAATACAGTCCGCACTGGTGGCGGGCTCCATAAGGTCGAAGCAGACGTTTCGCCTAATCAGTGCCGCGTTGAGTGTAACAGAGAATAACCGTGAGTTTCCAGTGTTTCGGCGAAACACAAAGAAACTCAATTCAAACAGTTGCGTCAGACATACGGCAGAAAGGTCTTAGTGAGCCATACGATGTTTTGTTGCCAGATCGTCATCGTCTTTTCAAGTTGAAGTTGTTATGGCCGCAAGTGTTAACGTTAATCAAACAACCATATACACACGCGATCGATCGAACAGCATCGTCTCATTGATCGATACTAACTGATTGGCTCCCTACAGCGTTTATGATTTCCGAGTTCGATCCATGTGTCAGAATACAATACCACGTGTGTCATGCGGTTGTGACTTCTCATTTCGAGTTCGGGACTAGGTGTCCAACTACGAAATAGGAGTACTTGAGCAATACTTATCAGGATAGCGACGGTGGTAAGCAATACATATCAGACGTGATCACTGGCTGTGCGCTGGGCGTGCAAAACAGCGAAAACATCAAAACATCCGGTCGGACTTATGAAAATACATTATAGATAACAAATGAGTCCGGAAAGAACTGATGTCTGTAGTATGTCAGAACAGATTTGGATGCTACTGCGGAATCCTAGCGTGCGCGCACAGCTGCTTGCGAGTGCATGCAGAGAAGCAGTGGTGCACTGAAGACATCACCACCGCATGCCTGTCGACCACCGATTCTGGTTGTCGCATGTACGTGTGTGGTGTCACAACAAAAGTGTTCTGTAGTTGAGCAACGGTCATCACCATGAGCAGCAACATATTTGTAAGGTGAACCGATGCTTCACTGTCTTACAGCCACAATGGCCTAAGGAATGAGGAGTAATAAGACGGGAAGAAGGGTGACCTATGGCAACACTTACATGGCCTAAACTCTAGATCAAGGCACCTACATATTTGTTAACAAAATGCGATAACAGATAGTGACTTCATTTGCAGCTGTAAAGTCAACTTTCGTCTACCTCCAGCCCTGTGACATCTGAGATACGGAAAGAAAGACAATCCCTCCGTGAGCATTGACTACGCGTACGTAGCACGTGCCCAAGTCAACGCTGCATATTTAATGTTATTAGCTGCTCTAAATAGCCGACCTGAATATCTCCTCTTTTAGTTTTCCTACGCATATCATGGTTGCGGACACACTGATGTCATCTGATACCGGCAATGTTCCACATACGACGACGATCAAGGATTGGAAAGTGCTCCAGGTCCTCAGATAAAAGAGGTCAAATCTCATCACCAGGGTTTAAATCGGCCCTCACCGTGGATTTGTATACATGGCGTTCCCGATCGATGGAACCACTGCTAAAAATAAGAAAATCGTCAGCTGTATGCCGTAACGGCGCTTCGCTGCCAGGCGACCACCATTAGTCGCGCTCGGGCTGAGTATATCGCGAAGACGCCGCCTCCTACGTGGATTCGAACCGGTGACCATTTGATTGCAAACCAGGCGCGCAGACCACTCGGCCACCGGAACACCCTTCCGTTATCATAGATATCGCAAGTCTAGGAAGGCGGTCCTAGCTTTCTTAAGAAGTGGACTAATAACATTTCTTTCGGATAGTCTGTGTGCGCAGTCCAAGATCGAGGCTTAGAGCAAATTCCGAGGCAGAACAATGTCCTGACTGATCACGGACAGTAGTCTGGAGTAAAGAAATTTATAACCCGAGTGGAACTGCACGTTGATCAGTGTGTTTTTGTGTAAGATATCATACACGCTATGTCCCGCGAATAGTGGAGACAGATCCGAAATGTCAAAAAGTGAAAGATCCAGGGACTTGATATGTCTCGCTGTAGCAAAGCAAGTGGGTTGCGGTTGTTCAAAATCACTGGATTGTTGAGAATGTTCGACACTTGCGGAAATTGTGACCGCATATCGCCTCTGCATGCTGACGGACACCCTAATTTTTAGTTTCCGTTTGTAGGTTCGTTTCATGTAGTTTGCGTTCCAACAGATGGCAAGGTCCGAAACATTTGCGGTAATCTCCTTGACAGTAAGCAAACAGGTTTCAGCAAATGACTTCATAGCGGGCATTCTGGATTCAGGCGTAATCTGAATGTCCAGACGACGGACTGCAGTCCCCAGCTATTCGCGATACCGCTGTGTCATTTACACATGACTGAAAGAGGGATGTGACAGCGTACGCCCATCGCTGTTGATGCAGTTGTCGTAATAAGTGAACTAGATAACAAACTAGAGGGCGGTGTGGCCTAAGAAGACCATACGAGACAGGCGGTTCCCCGGCTAACGAGTATGTATTTTAGTAGTGGCCAAAGCACACAGATATAAAGGGTACGGAGCAACTAAGAGGAACTCACCAATCAGACGGGGAGCAGATGTGAAGTCGCGAACAGGGACAGGAATGTGGTTCACTATGTAATCACACACAACGTCGATGTTATACTTGAGCTGAGCAGATATCGGTACTACTGGTGCGCCTTCTGCCACAGTGCCTTTGATGAATTGAAGTATCTTAGATAAGAGACAAAAAAAGATAGTGGAGAAACACTGATAATGTATGGAACATTCACATGGACGCAAAACGAAAGTATTTGTGTACCATCGTCATACTATAACTATAAAGACTTTTCCGGAATATGTGCGTGAGCGGCAAACCCCGTCCAAAATAGTAGGCAATTGCATGCAAAAAACAGAAGTTCAAAGAGGGATGTGTATGTGGTTAACCGTTATGATGCTCGTGCATACACAATGAGATACTAAAAATGGAGCATCCATGCATTATGCTGGGATTATTTGCGTACCTCTAAGACACTTTTGAAGTGCCTTCACTTATAGCAGACTGGTCAACGGTTCGGGGTCAGAGCAACTGTCTAAACATTCGCACATTTGCAAGCTGGAGTAAAGTCAATGGCTATCTTCCATCAAAACTTGGCCACGAGAGCGTCAACAAGTTACGCGGCATAAGTATAGCGCCCGATTGATGTACTGCACAAATGCCACGTGTTCGCTTTGACGGTTGGTGAACGTCGCTCGTTCTCCATGTTTTTCTACCACCTGTCACAAGCTTGGTAACTTTTGTTATGTATAACTGCTAGAGTAACAAATATGCAACAAAAAACACGGTAAAGCCAACAAGTAGGAGTCTTGATTGAGTTGCAATGTATTGACACAGTTTGAATTTTTGATCCATCTATCGGAGGCGAGCCATAGTTTCCGATTCGTTGGACTCACGTAGTCGTCACGTGATGTGGCTGGTGCATACTCAGCTTGTCTTTCGACCATTATTAGCCTTTTGATAGCGCTACACAGAATGAACTCCCGCAGCAGCCCGGATCAAGGTGTAAACCCGCTAAACATCCACCTGCGCTTGGTTGTGGTCGAACGCCCAACAAATGATAACGAGCAACTTTTGCAACCATGTGCTGAGCGCAATCTTGAGACTAGCAACAACGTTTTCCAGCATGATAGTTCATGTTGTGTCCCCTAGCACCGATCAAACTGCGCGATGAATTGGATGCACATTGCCATTAACTAGAGATGAGACACCAGTTCAAAAATATCGATGTTGGAGTACGCGTCTGGACTGCCATCATGCTCTAATTCAACAACGCGTCCAACGTCCAAGCTCCAAGTTTGTAACCCGGATTCACAGTCCGAAGCTCGGCACTATCACGACGAACTGGCCCACCGGTTGTCAGTGAGGAATGAAGTTGGTGAGCTGAATGCAAACTGGAATCGTCCAAAATGTGTTATAAGGAATGACTTTGAGGGCCACTGTAAACCACAAGTTGAGACCTCAGAACTGGATTTTGGAGATATCAGTTTAGCGAAAGCATGTAAACGAGTACCTTAGGGTACCCACTCTTGGTGTATCAGTGGCACCTTGGAACGACGGTAGATAAGAAGTATCAAAATTGACCAACAGCGATAGTGAGTGACAAAAGCTCACGAGAAGAATTTAATTGGTGACAGCCAAGCACGGGTCTAATAAAGATCTAGGCTAGGTGGGAAAGGTGGACAGTTAACACATTCTCAGGCTCATAAGGCAGTCAATTGGGCCGAGCCTTTCGAAGACCAGTTTAGCAAGCCCGCTACGACAATACCGTCTGCTGATTCACCTGAATTTGGTCGGGCCCCACTATGGAGAGGGGACATGAAACTGCGTTGTTAAAAAACACTCCTGGACAAAGCGACATTTCTTTAGCTCTGCTGAGAGGCGGTAACCCGTTTGTGGCTAGTTTATCTGGTCTGTACAGCACTATCTGTGACATTAAAGAAGTACCTAAAAATAAAGGCGAGCAGCCGTCATTCTCATCGTCAAAGAGCCTCTTGCGAAAATCATCGGGATATTACCTTAACTTCCAACACCTCCTAACTTAGTATGTTGAGTTTCTGTACTTTGTGAGAGCCGAATTATTAGGAACCAGGCTAATTTCTGCTCCGGTCGTGACTGCATTAACCAAATATTCACTCTGAGTCAAGCATCGGGGTACATAAGCACAGATGATCGACTATAGTATTTTCCCTTGATCTGAAAACCGCCTTCGACTCTGTTGATAGTGAGAGTAAACCCTTTCCATTTTGATGTCACTCTATCGTGACTAAGGATGCATATTAAGTGTCCAAGGGGAAACTGTCATCTGAGCTCCTTAAGACAAATGGCGGTCGCCAGGATTGTCCTACATACCCCTTCCTCTTCAACGTTGTGGCCGAAGCGGAAGTTTGCCATATGACCAACCGATAAACTTACAACATTGACGACAAAGCTATCATTAGGTCAGATCCAGTGGCTACGCAAGCGCCACTGAGTAGGCTAAAACGCAGCGCTACACGCTTGGGCATGTACTTTCCACCATCAAAGCGTAGAGTATTGTTGTAGGACGAAGCTGATATGCCACAAGTCCTTTATATCGGTGAACGGCCAGTGGAAGTCGCACAGCTTGATGGTTGTCACTTCAGGTAGCCTTATCCCTGACGATGTTACTTCAAGTGCAAACGGAGCCCGTGTGGTTCCGTGGAGGTAGTGGGATATGAATCTGGCAGTGTATGTTGTGACAAGGTCGGTGTTAGTGTATAGGTTAGAGACGTAATCAATTCACACTAAAGACACTAAGAAATGGGTCATCCTCGGTTGGTGAGTATGGCTCAAGTATGGTGGGAGCAGTAGTGAGAAATGGTGAGGTCCGCTAGTTGATATATGGCAAGAAACTTGGTGCCCCACCAGACTGTCTGCTGAACTCGAACCGCTTACATGTGCCAGATCATTTCCTCTTTACGCCCACTAACCGACTCCTCAAGCATGAATTACACGTCGCTGTATGTTGGTTGAAATTGCAAATTGATCAAAAGACTGACATGCCATGGTCCCAAGTCCGAGGTCTGCTATTTTTACTTGATGAGATCAAATATGGTCGAAACGCGTCGGGAAGGAGAGTGTTTTCGGGTGTGCGACACTTTATGGTTATCCGATTCACTTACGATTTTAGTGACTGGATTGATCAAGGTTCACTTCGATGCGAATGGCAGACCACATTGGGATCTTGTTGCAAACCATTCACTCAACGTGTACTTCAAAATGAAGAAGAGAAGGCATCAGCAGTACGCCGGTACGCAGTACCGGGGTTTCGCTGTCGCGCAGCCACCACCGGTCGCACGTGGGCTAAGGATACTGCAAGGGTCGCTCTGCGCCTACACAGGCTCGAACCCGCGCCGTCAGATTACGAGAAAAACTCGTTACCTTTAAGTTAAGGGCCGACAAAAGGACTATGCAATCAGTCGGATACTGGTTTTGCAGCAAACAAGAAACCAGAAGTAGCACTAGAGCAGAATGACGATCCGAATTTGCGAGATATAAGCAACTTGCGGCTTAAAGTAGGTCCCTGAAGCACTTCAAGGAAAAATGTGGAGCCCAAAGGCGTCGGACCGCCATGAGTGACGCAAGTACCGGCATTGCTTATACGTCTAATTTTGGAACTTGACTAAACTAAGTAAAATCTACTTCACGAGGTGCCTGCACCATATGCACATATCACGTTCATGAAGGCACCCAAATGAGGTTTGATGACAATGAGATATTGTGTAATACCTACTTGTTCATATTGTTCCCGTGCCTGACTCTCCTTTATAAGATCAATCTTGTTTTGCAGTATGATAATGTATTTGAGACGCATTATTTCCACAGCGGCCAGATGTTCGCTGGTTTGTGGCTGTGGGCACGGTTCGTTGCTGGCGATAAGCAAAAGAGCGGCATCCATAACGGCTGCACCGTTGAGCATTGTAGCCATCAGGATGTCATGGCCTGGACAGTCAACGAAGGACACGTGTCTGAATAAGTTGAAAAGTGAAAGATGCACATGCCGGATATCAGAAAGAGACGAAAGATGTACACACGTAGAATAATCGGGTGATTAATGAAAGCTGTATTTAAGTGCAAACAGCTAAACAAATAAAAAACTATGGGAGGTCCATCGTAGCCAGTTTCCAAGTCAGATAGTCGTCCACATGCCCGGAAAAGCACTAGACTGCAGTTTCAGCCTGTTGGGCATCGTCAGTAGTGCGCATCCATCGAATCCGTCAGAAGGATAAGACGCGCTATATCGCAGTTAGCTTGTAAATCATGACGGTCCGAAGCTGTCCCCCGTGGCCCAGTGGCATAAGCTGCTGACTGGGGGTTCAAGCCGCTGGTGGTCATGGGTTCGAATCCTGACGGATCCGATGGATGCGCACTACTGACGATGCCCAACAGGCTGAAACTGCAGTCTAGTGCTTTTCCGGGCATGTGGATGACTATCTGATTTGGAAACTGGCTGCGATGCACCTCTCATAATTACATCAAAATCTCCTACCCATGAGTACATCAAATCAAAAACTGTCTAAGGGAAACCGTCAACAGGAGACTGGACCTTAATGTGGAAGGTTTACACATCTACAAGCTGTTGTGTTATATCGGATGGCCCTTCTCAGGACCCCCGAAAGATACTCTAACCAGGTTGGCGAATGGTTGAAGACCAAACAAATTAGGTTGGGTAAGAAATGATGTCATACTCTATGGAAGTGAAACCTGGCCCCTCGGTTTAAGGATCTAAGCCGCCTTCAAGTTTTTGATCCTTGTTACTTGCGAAGTATTGCTGGTGTCGGATGGCACTAGCATGGCCGTAAGGATGATATGCGCAGGCCACTGCAAGGCAATGATCATCAGGATAGTTCATTAGAACAACAGACAACACTGAATAAGTCGCATCGTTTTGGGCATTACTATGTATGCCCGGTCAGTGCTTACCGAGGAGGGCCTCGTTTTGCTTATTAGATGTAAAGTGGCGCAAGGCCCGAAGTGAGCAAAAAGTAACTTGACAGTGGGAAATGAAGTCACCAGCTACAAAACTGTGTGCTGTTGGTCCGTCTCGCCTTTCAGGTTGGAGTCCACGTGACCCGCCTTGTGCATGGCTGGAGTCTTTAAGGGACATGACTCGCAGTCGATAACGGTGGCGCGTCCGCTGTCGTCTCCTACTCGGACCGCCTGCTGAAAATGAATCTGGTGCTGTGTTACATATTGCGTAATGGTAGATTTTGATGCTACCTTAACTACACACGGCAGCCAGAGGTCTGTAATGATATGTAGTTATCAAGGTGCAGGCGCCATGGTCCTGAATGTTTGTCAAGGGCGTTAATACTTTACGCTAGGTCTCTCTTCCCTTCTTAGTCTTCTTTCCGTAAGTTCTTGTGGTTGTACAACAGCGAAGCGCCAGTTCGAATAGCCGATGTACTGCAGTTGTATGATGACGTCTGGGCTAGAGCAGAAGACGGGTTGTACAAAAGGACCAGAAAAAGGACCCGAATTCTAAGGCCGAAATGCGGAAGTAAGATGAACAGTTGTTGGTAAACCTAATCAATGGAACAGTTCGGAATGTTGGTCGATCATGTGTAACATGCCAAGAGAGCAAGCACTTCCCCGTTGAAAGAATACAAGTAACATCTGCTGAGTCATTCACTTTTCATGACTATATAAAGTACCATCTTGAAAAAACCTCGCAGCTAAAGTAAATCGAACAGAAAACCAAACAACCTGGAAGCAAGAAAGCCAAGAGCAAGACGGTTATTGCCCCTTGGAGCCACATATCAAACAACGTGAAGGGTCCACAGTTAGGGCCGTGCGGTCATTCCATGATTATTATCATAACAGTAATCGTGATGCATTAGAGCCAGGAATGACACCCCAGATGTAAAAGATGTACTAAATTCTTTGTTTGAGGGAATGAAGAGGGTAGTATTGATCGACCGGCGAACATCATAAAAAAGATTAGTAAACATGGGAACAGAGAGTAGTCACAAACTGTTCATTCAAAGGAATGGTGTTAGCTGGGGCACGTACACCTACTTTCTCACTCAACAAAGATCCACAAAAAAGTGAAGGGACAAAACGTCAGAGCATATGGCTGTTTGGTTTGATACGACCCAGTTTATGTCAGCCACGAGCAACCCTGGAGAATGCGGAAATAAATGTACCTGTAATTCAACCGCTACAAATAATACACACAGTTATTACCAGGAGCGAGCAAACTTGCGCGGATTCGCACGTTAGTAATGACGAGTTGATGGGTTTGAATCGATTGAGAAGAAAAAGGATACCCTTCGCTGCCATGCAACTTTAAGAGACCGTACGTGGAATCAGGCGGAGTCAAGGAAAGCAGATGTAAGGGCTCGAAACCACGGCGCCAAGGTTGGAAGTCGAACGCATGTATCGCTACACCACAGATTGCAGTAGCCAAGTGATAGTAAAACGTTGAGCAAGGGTTGCATGCCCCAACCGTTAAAGACAAATTGTGAGACTTGTGTTATGCGTCAATCGAGCTGAGTTCCTAATTAATTAATTCCTAATTAATTAATTAATGATCACTAGCTTCTGCGATAGGAATGGCTCCAAAACCATTAGTAAAATGCTACACAGTGCAAAGTAGCAGGACACAAACTATCGAAGCAAGTTAAGATCCAAGTTAATAATAGTGGGCGCTTAGTTTGTCACGCCGAGTGACTGCAATCCGAATGTACGGGCCGAAGTTATGCGCTCAGATCTTAGGCCAATCGAACTGTGACGTGCAGCCAACAGAATTGTGTACACGCTCTAGCTGTGATTTAATGGACAGTAATTACCAATGTTGATTGTAAACTGAATGTATTATACCGATCCTTTTGTATTGTTCAATTCGGTTTTCTACACATAAGTGTAACAGCCTGAAGAATTACTGGAAACATGTGTTCGCTTGCGATGACGTTTGACGTTTTAAATATATGCATATAAAATTCCGTATCCTCCAGGGTTACGAGTGACTGGCCTCAACAATATCGCAAAGGAAATAAGCGTTTAGGTCCACTTGCAAGATTAGCTCCCCGTTATCCTAAGGGCAAAAGTTGGGCATTATAATCATCCCCATCAACAGCAGTACATCAGCCAGCTGAACTGAAACTTCGCTGCCGTAAAATCACGGTGGCCTATGGAACGAAGATCAATAAGAGGAAAAGAAGGAGGATCTGGCGTAAAACCTTAATGCCCTAAAAAACACAGCATAAAGACGCCTACCTCTTGTCATCAACATGCCGTCACAAACAGCTGGCTGTCGTACAAAGATAAGGCGGCATCGGCGAGACAGCTTCCTTGTAGCTTTCACTGCCCTGCGTCATAATCAACCATTACCCCGTAGAGAACTCAGCATTAAAAACACGTTAAATAAGCAGTCCGACAAAGAAACAACAGGCACACCGTCATTATCGACTGCGAATCATATCCTGCAACGTCCAAAGCCAAGCACAAGGCGGGTCACGTGGACTCTAGCCTGGAAGGCGAGACGGCCCGACGGCACCGAGTTGCGTCGACAGTGACTTCATTTCAATCAGCCAAGTTAAATTTTGCCTACCTCGAGCTTTGCGCCGCTCTACATCTGACCCACCTTGATAAACGGTGACCAGATCAAGCCAACGCAACTTATTCAGTGCTCTGCTGTTCTAAGGAAATAGCACGATTATCACCGTCTAAAACTCGCTTACGTAAATCATTGTTGCGGACACGCTGATGCCACCCGACACCAGAAATGCTTCGCAGACAAAGACTTGTAGGCGCCGCAGATCCACAAACCAGAAAGGCCAAGTCCCACAACTACAAAATAGGACGGTCCTCATTGTGGCCTTGTATACAAAGACTTACGTAAAGAGGGAAACCCCCTAACCTACGACACGGATGTCGCAAATTCAAAAAGAAGTTCTAGCTTTTGCAGTGCGTGAACTGAATTCAGTCGTTATAAGCCCATCGTTGCCGATGCAGCTGTCAAAGTAGGTGAAGTGATCAATTACCCAGTTCCTCGCCATCAAGTGGCTGGTGGTCCAGTAAGAGCATTTTGAAAGTGCGAAGCGCATGCCAAATGATGGCACTACTCTTGAGAGGTTATCAAGGGTTGATTGCGCCGTCCAAACATTGACTTGTAGTCTCCTGGACGGTGTTCGAATTCTGTCGGTCCATCGCCTCGGCTAAAGTGGTCCCAAGGTCCGTCGTGCATTTTCGTTGCTGGACTGACAGCCATCGCCCACAGGCTCCTTTGGCAGGTTAAAGCTTTCTAAAACAAATCAAACGGAAGTTCGACAGGCTTTACTTCCTCTGGCTGCCACAGCGTTGGCCGTAGCTGGTTTGTGTGGCGAATCCGGGTCTGCGTCCGCATGATCATTCCATACACTTCAGGCCATTTGCTGTAAAAGTCGACAGTAATGAAAAAACTTTGGCCATTGATTGGTCCTGCGAAAGCGACATAGACGCGGCACCACGGTCGCGTGGGTTTCGGTCATGAATGGAGTTCCGTCTTTACTGGTGCCCTTGAAGCAACAGAGCACTTGTGGTAACTTTTAACTATTTCTTCGTTATCTGTCCATCAATGGCCAGTACACAAAGCTTCAGGAAAGCGCCTTCATCCGGTCGACATCAAGATGTCCAGCATGGAACTGCCCAAGTACGAGCGTTGATAGTGCCTTTGGGATGAGAACACATTCCGAGAACAATATGCAGTCGTCCACTATGGAGATTGCATGCCTCCTTTGGTAGTACTGCCGCAATTCGGCTGAGGAACTTGTGCGTGGTCAACTCATCCTGTTGAATTGTGCGACCACCTTGAGTACAGGGTCACGAAGCTCGTACAGCTCATGTAGTCACTGGTAGCTCACATAATGCGTCAAACACAAGAAATCTGACATCCGGTTCAAGCTCAACTGCGGCTATGATCTTGTCTTCATCGCCCTGCTGATGGGAGTCTATGAGGCGTGCCAGTGCGTCCGCTTGGCAGATGGAA